CGAGCTCCCATTAGGTATTGTATGCGATCTCATAAATATATGTGAACTGTGTCGTGTTTAATGCCGCTGTGATCGGAAGCATTAATGTATCACTTGAAACTCTTTCTTGCATCCGATCGTTGTCGTTAACATAGTTTACATGTTGAGGAGACAAACACACAGACGGAGAACAAAGTAATCCTATAGGGGTTTCGATTTTTTCTTTTCAGATACGAAATCTCGATGTACAGTTATGCTATGCCCGAATGAAGCTCAATTAATGTTTCCACGCGAGATTATATTTTATTGACGTCTAACCTTATGACCTCATACACAGTTAAATGCCTATGCCTGATCAACTTCTCAATGTGGTAGCTTTGACCATCTACGAAGATATCGATCATAGACCCAAGCATGAATTTTGACAGATGAGTACTCATAGCACGAATCAATATCGAATTCGAATAGTTTGCGAATGCGAAATGTCTGCCGAACAATACAATATACTGTTCTCGTTACGTCCGTTATGACATTTTAAACTCGCTAATTATTCGAATTCGATATCGGTTCTTCCTTAGGGTACTGTAATCGTATCGTCATCGTCTAATTATGTATGGCAGGAGCCAGTGTTTTCTTACGTCCGTTGCGCTTCTCAGTTTTTATAAGAACTTTGACGGTGCGTTATGATTACGGAGCTGCCAAAGTCCTCTGTTTATGGATAAGAAAATGATCATTTATCGAGTGGTAAAAGTATCTAAGTAACATTGTAGCTCAGAGATTGTAAGTGAGTTGAGTCGTGCCGCCATTGTTCCAGAAATAAATAGAACACGGTTGTTATAGCTTTAATGGGACAACGCGATGTGACGGCAAGTACCGTCAGCATAAGCGCGATGCAATATCTATTTAATTTTGGAAAATTTATGTTGAATGAAGTCATCAGTGTCACAATATTAAATTAATAGAAACAAATATCATTTATTTCATCGCTTAAGCGCAGAATACAGTATTTGAAGGTTTATACTGTATGCGTAGAATACAGAAATAAAATAATGTAGTAATGACGTTCGCGGTGTCAACAAAAATATGGAAAGATGAGTTTGCCATTCGCTAAAACGTTCGCGGTGTCAACGGAAATATGAGATATTGAGGTTTCCTATCGTTTAAACGTTCGCAGTGTCAATCAAACTATTGAAAGACGAGGTCTCTTTTAGCTATGTCGTTCGCGATGTCAACCAAAATATGAAAAGATGAGGTCTCCTTTCATTAAATCATTCGCGGTGTCAACCAAAATATGAAAAGAAGAGATCTCCTTTCGTTATGGCGTTCGCTGTGCAAACCAAAATATGAGAAGATGAGGGAGGTTCCTTTTAGTTATAATATTCGCGGTGACAACTAAAGATGAGAAGATTAGGTCTGCTTTCGTTAAGGCATTCGCGGTGTCAACCTAAATATGAAAAGATACCAGTGGAGCTTGCGCTTTATCTACTCTAGTTGTCTGAACATCTAAAGTGCATATTGTACTGTGTTATTATTTTTTATATTCATTACTACATGTTTTCGAATTTAGATTTTCGCATAAGCACACCTTAGGATAAATATGGTCATGTCTGGTTTTAAACTCTGGCTCGTTAACAATATTGACATCTTGCCAAATATTTACGAGAGTTTTCTAAACCAAACTTAGATATATTGGCTACTTGATAGCAAGCGGCCACTGACTATCAGATTCGTAATCGTATCTTCATTTTCAAGTTTGTATAGAAAGAAGCAGTTTGTTTTCATAGAAATTTTGACGATGCGATACTATTACAGATATGTCACAATTTGTGCTTCTCCTTGGGCCTGTGCCTATATGACGAGCGCCGGTGCGGTGCAAACCTGAAACGGCGCATCACCAGGGTGTCGATTCTGCTAATTCAAATCAAATCATAGAAATAAGATTATTACTCTTACTAAGCAGAATCGACACTCAGAACGGCATGCAGGTATACACAGTATACATGGTACAGCGCCGCGTCGTAAACAATGCACAATTTAAAAATAAATATGAGTAATTTCTGCGAACGAAACCTTTTCCACGTGAGTTGAACTCGCACATGTCTGTTTTATAATTAATTAATTAAATCCTCAATTACATGATATTATATTTCCAAGTGGTGGCTCCTAGTTTTTGCTATTGACAAAAATAACCATAACACATTTTTTCACTGTAGACAATTTACTTATACGCGATAGCGCTTGAATAATGGATAATCATAGATCTTATCAATTTCTCTAGATATTTCTCCTAACACTGCTTATAAAAGCTAATTGAAGTTATACTAGTTTATGAAATCAAGACAGTGCAAATAGTATTGAAGTACCTAAATTAACGTTTAAACGTTTTGTGATTCTTCGTTTGTCTTGCTGACGGTACAAAACGGGGGCACAACACTAACCACAGTTTGAAGGCACTGAAACATCTCGCGAAGGTATTATTTTCAATCTGTGTCATAAGGTCTGGACGACCTTGCAATTCAAACCTGATGTTCATAATTAGATAGTCTCATAATCAGTAATTTATGAAGAAAACTCACTAATAAATAAGTTCTAGCAGTAGGTAGGAGTAGTAGGTTTGGGCAGTGGTTAAGCAACTTTCACAAAAGGCATAATGGCGGGGTAAATTTAACGAAATCTTATTTAGTCCGTCAATTAGATCATTAAAAAACAATGGACACTTCCTTTTTATTGTGTAAGATAAAGAGCTTTAAAGTTTGTTAGTGGGGGATCATGACGTCACTTCTAAGTAATAAAATTACCAAGGCTTGACGTCATGCGACATTTCAATCTCCTACCCCGTGGAACCCTGGAACCTTACATACTGACTCTATTTTTACTCGAGGATGTGGATGGAGGAGCTCGATGGCGCAGGTGGTTAGCGCGTTCAGCTGCGATCGTTGTAGTTAAGCAACTTTCGCAGTGGTCAGTCATTGGATGGGTGACCAAAAATTCCTCCGTGCTTCGGAAGGCACATTAAGCCGTTGGTCCCGGTGTCATCTGCAGTCGTTAGCACCCGCCAATCCGCACTGGGCCCGCGTGGTGGGTCGTGGCCCAATCTCCCTATTCCATCCATGGGGAAGGCCTGTGCCCCAGCAGTGGGGACATTAAGAGGCTGATGATGATGATGATTTTTACTTGGCGCAGTGAGACACGTACTACTAATTTGTAGTCACATTCATTTTGACGACCCCATACTTATTTACCTATTCTGTAAATCATTTACTTATATTTCACAGTTTTTGCAAATAATGAATCTTAATCTTCACTTCTTACCTAATCTCAACAACCGGTGATTAAACTAATAAGGACTAGCTAGCTAGCGCGATTTGTAACCAGAAGTTGGTTTCGCCTAAAGAATTCAACATGTTTTCTTGGGTAGAAGAGTGGATGATATTCACGCGATGAAGTTCACCTAATATACCATAATTTCAAAGGATTGCAATAATGGAATTTTACTAATGTCTAGCCTATTCAGACTCTACGTACTGTTGCGTGCTCTCTCTTTATTGCGTAAAGTTTATCAAACTCACGAATAAGTAAAATTTTCACAAGTGCTTGGATTTCAATAAAGCATCTGCTTAAGTTGAACACTTCTAACGGTAAGCGCAAAGCCACAATGTTTGAAGTATTTGTTGAAAGTGAATTTTTATGGTCCCGCGCGAAGATTGTGAAGGTATATTATAACGACACTTGACAAGATGGTAAGTAGTTCTTTATAAAAGATCTTAATGAAACATCCACCAGTGATGTTGTACTAAGTACCTACTTAAGATTAGGTACCCATACTAGCTTCTCTTACGGTGCGTCGGTGGTTACGTAGAAGACTGAATCCAATTGCAAATTAATGATTTGATTCTAAATGAAGATAAAAGTTCTGTAATAGTTATTAAATGTGGTATATTTATTTAACTAAAAAATAACCTACTATTGGACCAAAAGATCGGCCAACGAGAAATGAGTATTATAGGTTCACCGAAATTGCTAGACAAATAAAAATTTGGCCTGCTTGAGTCCCAAAAAGTGACTGAATAGAAGTAGAGGTATTTAGGAAAGAAATGTTTGTAATAATTAAATGTAAAATGTAGATACTATCCAAAATTTCACCACGCAGTCTTAACCTTGAATGTGGAGCATTTGTTATCCGACTTAAATCGAAATAGCACATTCTCACACTGGAAAAGATGCCTGATAAAATGCCGTGCCATGCTGTCTAATGATACAGTTCCCACACATTGTGACTTATTCCTAACAATGATGCTGTATCAGAATGAATGACGGTAAAGCCAGATGTAATTAATTTTTCTAATTAGACGTTTTCTCTGATATTTTTATCGCTGACATAGCATTTATTTATCTGATGAGTACGAGCGCGTGTTTATGAAAGAGGTAGGTAATTATAACGAAGATAAAAGTGAAACTGAAATCATGTAATGAAAACTGCAATTTTGATATAATGTTAATTGAGCTTTTCTAATAATTTTCCGTTTCAACTGAGTCGTGATTGCCTGGTAAGCTATTATCTTTTACAAGACGAGGACAAAGAGACTTTAGAAAAAACTCATTTTTGCTCAGATCATAGATGTTGCTGGCTTGTCTATATTTTAGTTTTATTCAGATCTTTGTGTTTCAATAAGGTTATCGATGAATTGATTGATTTCTTTTTTAATACGGAATTCGTGCTTTTACTGAGACTTTATTGTATCATTGAAACTAAATGAATTTGACTTACAAAGTATTTTGATGACGGAGATTTACGACATTTATGACAATTGTTTTGATTTTTCGTACCCGCAACAGAAATATTTACATTTCATTTTAATGGAAATCTTTATTAACTTTATTTATTATTATGATGTTGTTTACTATGTTTTGGTTTGAAGAAAGTCAAGAGTATACCATAAGGTTTTGCCTTAAGTTTTAATACATGCCGTAAGCCTATGTCAGGTGTCATCCAAAGTAAAAAAAAAACATTTTCTATTTACCTTCGAAACGATCAGCGCCTTGCCGGCCAATAGGAAGAGACCAGCAATCGCTAACGGTATCATTGCCGCCATCTTCATGCTGGCGCCCATCATCATCATGCCCATCATCTTCTTCATCTTTCCTCGACCTGAAATGTTCAGTTGTTTAAATTTTAATAGAGAAATATAGGCACATATATGGATTGGAATTAAACTAAGTTTATCATCACATGTTTCCTCCATCCCATGAATTCGGTAAGACTCAACTTAAAAAATCTCCAATTATAATCAATTTAATTAATCTAAATGAAACCTAAAAATATCCAAAACTTGTGATAATTAAAGTTAAAATTTGTAGCTATTATCCTATAAAGTTATTATTCACGAAACATAGGTATATAAATAATTGAAATCTAAATGAGATCTAACTACATTACATCCATTAACTACTGGAGAAACATGAAAACAAATATGGCAATTGTTATAAGCTCGTCATTCATAAAATAAAAAGTTTTTATAATGAGTTCTATCATATTCTTTTCCACACACTTTGAGACTATTCTGAGATAGTAAATAAACAACATTTCCGACAAATCAACAGATTAGCACAAGTGCACAATGCGCGCCCCCGACAATGAAAACAGATGAAAGCCTTTTCGAATGTTGACAATGTCAGTTCGTCGACACGTGGGAAAATCGTGATTATCTAACGATTTCGAACAATCAAAATCATCTTGAACAAAGCATAATGGCATTTCCTGATCATCAAGATTTATGGTTAAAAATGTGTTGACCTTTCGCGAACTCCAGTGCTCACTACTCGTGAATTACTTGACTTTCTATCATCAAATCAACGTTTGCTTTCGGATTTTACTTTCGTTATATTTTTTGTGATGGTATATCATAGGTGGTGTGTCGTGTGTGCGCTGCGCCATTTGTTATTTGATTAATGGTCTCAATAATTTCGCGTTACGAATCAATTATCTCCTACAGACTAATGAATGGTATTTATATTAAATTTGTCCATTATATTCATAAAACCTATGTCATTAGATATTTACAAATGATAACTATACCAAAATAACATTGGGTACATCATTCTTTGAGCTTTCAGCCTTATATGAGATATTTCCAAGAGAAACCAGGGCGGGTATTAGAGGTATAACCGAGACTGATATGAAAAATGACCATATAATTTAACGGACCATAAACTGTTTTGAACAAAATGCTTTGTGGTTTCTATGGACATTAAGAAATAGTTGTAACTCGATAAGTCACAAAACCGCTATGATACGTGTATAAAAGCCTATTTTATCTTTTAAAAAACGAATAAATTTAGTCAGTGATAAACATAAGAAGTTGCATTGTTAACAGTTGTTGTGAGTAAAAAAGTTAAGAAAAGAGAAGGGTAACTAGAAAATTTTCATGTTACATTTCTGAACAAGTAAAATAATTACTACTAATAAAAACCGAGAAAACAATGTAAATGCCAATTTGGTACCATTTAAAATACGATATTGTGGCAATTAAAAGCTTCGTGAATACATAAAAGATTTTACAGCTACAATATTCAAATACCAGTGAGAAATCTTAACGTACTCCGTTGCCCTATATTTGTATCTAAGTTTGAAGAAAAGTGTGTGAATTTGATAATGGTGTTCATTGTTTACAACACTTGGATGACTTTTACTTTTAAAATTATATAGGTATTATTACACTCGTCCTGTATTTTATACTTTTGTAGTATATCTAGTTTTATAAAATGAAGTTTTGCATGGTAACACCTGAATTTTCAGTATGATGTATCTGAAAAGATTTGATAATAAGTTAGTAGATTTAAAGTGAATGATCTATCGACATTTACAAAAAATCATTACTTAATAAGGAAAATGAAAAGTAATGGTAGTTTCTTCAAATACAAAGCTTTGGGTTAAAAACTTTTGTCGCATGTCAAAATGAATGAAGGATAGATCTAATTTTATTCTTGCGAACTATCACTATGTAACTTTAGCGTTTAACGTAACGTTTTTCCCAATGATACTCTTTAATGATATAAAGGTGCATTGTGGACTTTTTGCAAATAATAAAACAGGAAATGGAAGTCATTCATTTTTCATTTACAATGATTATGATGTTTACATTGAATGGTGAATTAGTGAAATTTGAGTTGCAATTAAAGATTGGCTACGCGTTTTAACACGTCAAAATTGGTTTCATAAATTAATCATTGCATCGCTGTGGCGGTTTTAGATTTTTCATAAATTGATGTTACTTCTATTTAAATGTCATTGTGTCAAAAAAAGAAGGTTTGCACTGAAAGAAGAGGGAAGCTCAATAGTGAAGCTTTTTGTCTGAAATAGGTTGTGTCTTTTGTAAATGCATACCTATTTAGCAGTTACTAGTTCAAAACAATTTATACAACGAGAAATTACATTTTCTTTATAAAGTTGCGTAATTGTATGCTCAAAAGGGAAAGTTTAACATTAATGCCATAAAAATTTAAACGATGAAAGACGTTATAAAATCTTGACCACTTGCAAACAATTGAAATAATGTCTTTGAAATACAGTTGGGAATGGTTGCCTAATAGAACTCTTTTACCTGATTCTTTGTATGCTGGGAAGCCTACAATTTCATAATTTATTGCATTCATTTACAATTTGGTATGATAAATTGTTTGTACAGTAATGTTATTAATGTAAAGAAATTGAGCATATCTATTTAAAAACTTATAGTTGTAGTCTATTAATATTGGTTATTATTCGGTTGTCATAGCAATTTTGAGTTAGTTCTAATATTTAGGTGATAACTAATACTGAATCTTTAAGTTATCGCAAAGCATAAAGTACCGAACTTATGTGTTAGTCTTAGCTTATTATGAATGATACCAGAGCTGCTAATGAATTTCAAACTTAGATTAGATTGTGAATCTTATTGTAGATTAGTTAAGTTTATTTATTAAACAACAAGTTTTCTTTACCTTCCTCGACTCCTTTATTCAGATCCTGACCAGTAATCCTTGGCAAAGAGAGTTGAACAGTTCTTGAATTGGCAAAAGACGCAATCCTATCCCAAAGCATGTCAGTGAGTGCTTCATTCTTATCGGCCAGGTTCCTGGGAAGACTGCTCTCGATGTCGTTCTCACTAATAGGTGACACTTCAGGTTCAGAAGCCTTCACAATATCGATACCATCAATCAGTGGTATTGATTCCATCCGTGCTGCTCTGTCAAAAAACAAAATAGCCTTCTTCTTCAGACACGGTAACACCCCGTCCGCTCGCTGGCAGTCCTCGTACAACCTCATTACGTATCTCACGCCCATATCCTCGCGAGCTGTCGCGAATGATAAGACTAGCAGTAATGATAACACTTTTGCGAACATTTTGATTGTTGATGCTGACGGTACGGTCGGGCAAAAATGACTGGTGGAATCCCGCGGTCGGATGCCGCTTATATAGATAGCGTTAATGTGAATGCAGCGAGCCCCTGTACTGTGCTGTGGTCGTGTTGAATGGAATGCTTAGGTTCACAGGTTGCAGGTCACGATGTGTGTAGTACACGTTGGCGAGTAACGTACTATTGTGGAGCGTTTGTTTTGTGGACTTAGAGGATATATTGTGTTACGTTCCAGCTTTCCAGTTGGGCTTTATAGTGAAAAATATTAATAATAAAATAAATAAATACTTCCAACACTCACACCATTTAGCCTTGCTCCAATGTAAGCACTGTAGGCTTGTGTTATGGGATACTAGGGTGACGGATACAATCCATTTTTATATATATAATTCTTCTGTGAGTGTGTATGTCACTGAACTTCTCTTAAACGACTGGACCGATTTTGATGAATTTTTTTGTGTGTGTTCAAGGGGATCTGAGAATGGTTTAGATTCACAATTTTGTCCGCTGGACAACCCCTATTTTTTTAGGGCGGTACGAAGTTCGCTGGGTCAGCTAGTATATACATAAGTATATTTATACAGAAGTACATATTTAACATTCATGACTGGAGTACAAATGCTCGTATTCATCACACAAACATCTGCTCCCACCGGGATTCGAAACCGGGACCTCTCGAGTAGGCGACTCCTTGAAAGCCGGCAACCAAACCACTCGATTACAGAGCTCGTCGAATATTAGTTAAACATGCATATTAGTGCATGCGCAGCAAAGTTTCCTGATGACCATTGAAGTAGCCAGTAATATATATGACATGAAAAAATCGAATTATCGTAATTTCAGTAGCGAAGTTGCATGTTATGTTACGGAATTGACGGCGATTCTGTAAAATCAAATCTTACTTCCGAGTTCGTTAGCTCATAAATATGCATAATTCCAATATAGGGCTAAATGTAAGAATGACTGTTGAACGAGCCAGTAATAGCAAAGTTTTTAATAAATGAGATCGGAAGTGACATTTTATCTCAGAATGGCATACATACAGTTTGTTTGTTTGCTTTAAAAATATTATTGACAGATCTGAAAAAGAATGCGGATTTGTTTTTTAAAAGTGACGCTTTTTCTCTTTTAACTACTTTGCTATCTAAAAAGGTTTAAATAGAGTAAAAATCGTGTTAAAATTTAACATAATTATTTCATAAATGTTAGAAGAAATAATACTATATTATTTGAGTGGGATAATCTGCGCAGCAAGTTTCTGTCAGTAGGTTTTATGTCTCGGTGGGATCTAGAGAAAAAGATCCTGGATTGACAGGGGTTTTTGGGTAAAGTCCTAACCCCGTGAAGTTACTGCGCAGATTTACTAAACATAAACTCATTTAATTTCGTATCGTTTCATGAGCATTCAACTAAGTTGGTAATGTATCTATAATTTATGGGCCTCTTATGTATGACAATAAGTTATAAATAACATAACTATCTGACATATCGATTGCGCTGTTGGTAGAGTATCTAAGTGCAGTACTCTCAGTAACATATCATACATAATCTAAAGTTACACCATAACTAACTTAGTTTGAGTAGATAAAAATATTATTTGTGTAGCGCAGTCTGCTAAGCAAAGTCAGTCAAAGGATGGGTGACCAAACATTTATTATTTGGAGCTGTATCGTGCTTCAGAAGGCACTTGACTTGACTTACATTGGCAGTCATTAGTACCCACTAACACAGTCTCGCGTTTTTGTTCATGGCTGTTTCTCCTTATTCCAGTCAAAAGGAAGGTATGTGCTTCAGCAGTGAGGGCTGTAGTTGAGGGCATCTAATGATGACGTAGCCTAAGAACTTACCTACATAGTCATTTAAAAATAAATACATCCTCGTCTAATGAGCGACGAGGTGATGCGGTTCATCGTAAATCCATCCTATGGTAATCCTCTTGATGGGTCCTTGGAGGCCTACTTGCTGAGAATTTTACCTGGGAAGCCATTTCAAGTCATCAGGATACTCCATTTAGAACTAATCTTTTGGTCCCCTGTCCATGATTGAGAGTAGTAGCCGAGACACCAGTTCTGAGTCAGCGAGCCACCATTTCCTGTAGAGGTGTAAGACCTTTTGTACTCCTGGGCAGGAGGAGCTCATGCGCGTGATGCCTTCCCCCAAACAAGTGAATACATACCTAATACCTGTTGGAGTGATCTTCTGAATCCCTTGCGGGCGGAAGAAGCTCAGGCGCGTGAAGCTTGTCCCCAAATACAGGGTGTAAAAAGACCTATGACAAAGACTAAAACTAGGCATTCTGTACACACAAACAAGTAATATTACAAAATATTATGCGTGGGAAACATTTGTATTCTAAGTAAAAAAATTTTTTTTTTGAAGTTATACTTCTTTAGGCGCGTTATGAAAAAATGATGAGAGTGAAATTTTTAGATGCGCGCGCATCACTGTAACCCAAAAGTAACAGCATGAAGTTGGCCGCGGGCGCGTTATGAAAAAATCATGTGAGTGAAATTTCGAGATGCGCGCGCATCACTGTAACGCAATAGTAACACCATGAAGTTGGCCGCGGGCGCGTTATGAATGTTAGTGTCTAATTCCACCACCATTATTAGACATCTGTTCGAAAGGTACTTTGAACGATCCACGGAGCTCCATAAGATGATCGCGTTGTCAAAAACAATGTTGGCACGCTCGTCGCCTCTGATCACTGTTTTCATATTTATAATATTTATCCACATGTTTCTAGTTTCTATATAGACTCAACGTGTTTTAGTTACTTACAAGTGCTAATTACATATGGACTAATAACTTAAATTCAGTAGTGATTTTAATTGAATATTTTGAATATTTATTTAATTTTTCAAATTAAAACTGAACTTAATTGACTGTGTTAACTATCCTTTTCCAGTCCTTTTATTATTTTATTGTAATTATTAATTATGTGCATGCAATTAAAAAATATTTTTAATGATGCTAAAGAAGTATAACTTCTCACGCGCGTACATAAGTTACTATATAGTATTTTTTTTTCTAGTACGCAATGTATAGCGTGGCGCGCAAATGTGGCGCTACGCAAACAATGTGCCTGTTTGTATGAGTGTGCGAGTGTGTAAGTGCGTCGAAAAAAAAGTTTCTAAATAACGTTATTGCAAAAATCTTGAAAAAAATATTGTGACTTTGACCTTCAATGTCTCCATAACCATAAATTTCCCAGGTATGGTCCAGAAGAAAACAATGATCGTCATGATGTGGAAAATCCGTGGCCTTCGACTTCGTTAAAGGTTTTTTTACACCCTGTATGTGGATCCGTGCAATACGCGGTTAGTTGTCAATCCGCTGCACTGGCACCAAGTCCTTGACTTACATAACTTTTTCTGCATGCCTGGGAGCCGCCATACAATTTTAGTTTCTTTTAATTTTCCTCATGTCGAATTTTTGAATCATTCTCAGCAGATTCGTATTGGATACGGGAACCTAGTTTTAGTTTTACGGCGGTCTGTTCTCCACAACTCGACACTCTGTGAGTATTTTGCATGAGGAAGGACATTGGTCCTATCATCGCAGCTTCTCTGTAGTGTCCGCGGGCTTCCTATAAGTCTTTTGTCTATCAAATCAATCAGTCGTCTCCTACGGAAACATAAAAGACAGATTTGATCCTATTCAGTGGGAATAATTATATATCAGTGAGCATTTCTTGAAGATTTTTGGAAATCGTTTACAAAATAAAGAAGGAATTAGGAGAATTATTATGACGGTAGTTTGCTATTCTTGTTGCTGCCATGCTCTTCTATAATGTCATCTTTATTCTGCCCGTATTTGCAGTTGATTTATTTATTGTAGTATAAATACTAACTACAACTAGAATTCTCTTAACACATTCCATTTTTACAGCGGAATTAGAAAACTTTTCTATATTTTAAGCAACGTAATCTTCTGTAATCAGTGTTAAAACAAACTGGCCAGATACGATTCGGACTCGCGCATCCGGGGTTCCGCGTGAACTTGTAAGCAAGTCAATCGTCCATTTAAATTCACAATAGAACAAAACTAGCAAACCAGTGAACCAAATGTTCACCAAAACCTGATTTAAAAATAAATAAATAAATGTATTTAATTAATTGAGAACTTCGGAAATTTTGTGTGGTTTCGTTTGAAATTCGTGATTTCTCGAAAACCGGAAGTGCTACGTTACTCAAATCCGGTTTGTAGTCTTATCAGACTATTCTTAACTTATAACTTAAATATTCTCTTTATCTATCTCTTACGGTTTGGCCGCTGAAACAGCACCACAGACGGACGGACTTGTCTAATAGATAAGAGATTTTGTTGTTCTACGATTATTTACGGTTTTTGCTTTTTTTTTTACTTCAATTGTGTTATATAAAACCAGAATTTCACAAGTTTTTGTCAACGAAACGTGCCCAACTTAGTAATCTTTAAGAGTGTTAAAATTATGCCTGGGACATAAACGGCCATCTTTTTTGAATGCGCTTATTTAGATGGGTATTTAATTTTCTCACGTAGCAAGGTGAAACGGAAGAACTTGTTACCAGTATTAATTTCATATTGATAACTTCACGTGTAAAGGTAAACGAGATCTTGTCTTGCAGCTTAGAGGGTATTCGCAGGGTTTTTTAGCGGATATTATGCCGTAAGAGTAAGAAGTAAGAGTTACGGGGTCCTCAGTGGGCAGCCACTGCTGGGGCTCGTAAGGCTTGCGGGAGCCAGGTGCGAGATCCGTTCGGCGGTGTGCCTCTTAAGCCGCGTATCCACTAGAGGCAGCCTCGCGTCGAACGGCCTCAACTTGAAGCAAATAGCCTCAGTTTGAGGGTGCTCGCTCTGAGGCAATGGCTACGGATAAGCTCGAGGCGTGTCGCCTCAGCTTGATCCGCTGGCGGCGCACTGCGCAGTTAAAAGCCAAAACGCGATGGCACCAGACGCGCGTCGAGTAGCTGCTGCTTTAATAGCAATAACCATTATTAAGAAAAAGAGGAGGCAACAAAAAGCTATACAAAATAGGAAGCATCGCTGGTGGATAAAAGAATTATACCGCAATAGAACTATACATGGATGTGAACACTTGCCATTGAACATGACGTTGGAAGGTGGCGATAGCTTTCGAAATTTTAGCGACCGTCTCCATTCAATACACGGCTCGGACTGAGGCGCCTTTGAGCACGGCACAGAAACCGACAAAATATGGCTCGGCTCGCGGCGACGAATTTGCCTCGCGTCGCGGCGTGCCTCAGGTTGAGGCAGCGTCTCCACTTGCGCAGCCTCGGAGTGAGGCAGCCGCTCGACCCGAGGCTGCCTCTAGTGGATACGCGGCTTTAAAGGCGCCGTCGTCTGTAAATAGTATTTTTTGCCTGCGTATAAAAAAAGGGCTACACGGGGTAGGGGATTGGTTCAGGGTAGGCAACGGTGGGGTGCTACGTCGGAAACCTCCTCGTGTGCCCGGTCCATTTCTTGTCCCTTGGCAGTCATGCTAGGGGAACGGAAATGGACTCGGGACGGTGCACTCTGGGCGCCTGCGTAATGTCTCCCACTGAGGGTGCTGTTACGGAGGTGTCGGATATCCGACAAACTCGTAACCCCGTACATGGTGCGGGGCCGAGGGCCGCCAACTTCTCCGGAGGGCAGGGGGCCGCGAGGAAGAAAACCTCTCTAAAAAATTACCCAGGGGGGGGGCCACCAAGTGGCCCCGGAGGTGGGGGCAGTATTGCCTTGGAGGAGCTCGCAATCCCGCACGCAGTGTGGGGCCGAGGGCCGCCGCCTTTTTCGTAAGGTGGGGGCTGTGAGGAAGAAAACCTCTATAAAAAATTACCCTGAGGTGGGCTTGGCTGGCGTCCTGGGCAGCCTGGGTAGCGACAACCAAGCCAGCGGAGCGGGGCGGTTGTGATGCATAGTCTGCATTACATCCGGCCAACCCGTAGTCCTGCACGTGGTGTGGGAATGGGGGCCGTCACTCTATGAGGGAGGGCCATGAGGAAGGACACCTCTATAAAAACCCACTTTGTGTTTGTGTCGTGGGGCTGCCTCGCCCCAAAGAGGCAAAAAAAAACCCAATGGCAAGTCTAAAAACACGTAGAAATCCCCAGGTGGGTACCTGCGACAGCAGGGAGGCCCACCCGAGAGTCTCGACTCTCGGCTGCTCCGAGAATCCTGGGGGGAGCAAGAATTGCCTTTCGGCCAACTCACAGCGGCCGCATCTAAACTGTGAAAACCGTAGCTTAGGGGGTGGGGGGGATGAAGTAGTGGAAGAGCGTAGGTCTATAGAGGAGAATGGGGAGAAGTTTAGGGAGGGGGGTAAAGATAGAAAGGGGGATAAAGAGGTTGGAGAAAGGATAGTTGAAAGAGAGAGGAAGGAAGGGCTAATGGTGGATGCGGAAGTTCCGGATGCTGATCCGACGATCTCGCAGTGTTATGAGACAGAGAAAATGGTGGGTATTAATCCGCAACGCTCGCGCAGCATGGGCGACGTTAGGCCAGAGTGTGTGAATACATCCTCTGTTTTATTGACAAAGGAGGTGGGAAAAGGAAACAAGGGAAGGAATCAAAAGAGGGTTTCGGATAGGAATGGAATGGATAGTAAAAGAGAGAGAAGTCGGAGTGGAGGTAGCAGAAGAGGGAAAGGGAGTAGTCGAGAGGACAGTGATAGGGAAAGGAGTAGGAATACCAGAGGAGAGAGGGAAAAGAGTGGGAAATCCGAGGAAGAATCTGAAGTAGAGCTGGGAAGAAGAGCCATGGCTAAGAAAAGGCCAAGCGGAACCGATCAAATAGTGGATGCGTTAAAAGAAGGCATCTCAGCAGCTTCCCCAAAAGTTAGTACAGCGGGGAGAGGGGGCTTACATGGCCTGACGGCAACTGGACGAAATACGGATTTGGCACAGCGGGCCTCTTCCTCTAAGTTCTTTTGGAAGGCGCCGGGAGTGGCAAATGCGGGTACTGAACTAACCAGCACCCCAGATAGCTCAGAGCACGATGAGGGGGGAACCAAGGCTCCCGGGAGAAGGAGATCTAAAAGAATTAGAAACAAAGTGGGCAAAAAGAATGAAGAACGGAGTGAAGAGGAGAAAAAAGAAGGAAACATAGAGGAGATAGAAATAGGGAATGTAGGAGAAAAGATCACCACATATGAGACATTGACGTCGGGGAATACCCGTATCGAACGGCGTGTGGATGGTTTTTTCAATTACAGCTCGGAGATCGGAAGTAATCCCGAGATGGATGTAGAGGTGGCAAACCCCTCTAGGAGTGGGCTGCAAACCAGATATCAACGAGAGAAGGGACTGCAGCAAGGAGGAGAAACCGCAACGGCGGAGAAAAGTAGAGGAAAGGCTCAGGACCTCATAGATGTGGTCATGTCCACAGTCCAAGGTGCAAGCGGAGTGAAGGAAGAGGACAGACAGGCCATAATCAAGGCGGCGCAGGGCCTCCACAGTTTGGTGGAGAAATTGGTGGAGCTCACAGTCACGGAGGAAAACAGAAGGTTGAGAGCTAACAACGAGAGACTGGAGCAAGAACTTGCCCACATGAGGAAGGAGAACCAGGCCTACAAACAGGCGTTTGAGAGGGCAGCTCGGGAAGCAAAGCCGGGGGGTCGGTCAGACAACGCAGATGAGGCATTGGAAAGGATAGCGACTCCTCGCCCAGATCCAGTTCCACCGAAGGAATGGCAGGAGGCTTTCAAAGCTGATCTGATGAATAGTATGGGCCGGGTAATTGGCGCCCGTATTGAGGGGTTGAAAGGAAGGCTCCTGCCCGAGATAAATTTGGCACCCCCTCTTGAGGCAAGAAAGAGAGCAAATGCCGCACCAAAAGAGACGCGTCCGGCAAAGGAAGTGCCTGCCACGGATAGGGGGCCTGTGCAGGACAGTCCAGAGTCTGCACTAACCACAGAGCAGCCGGAGGAGGAGAGTTGGACCACGGTCGCCAAGCGGGGCAAGAGGACCAAGACCACGAAAGAATCGGTACCGGCCCCAAAGCCACTGACGGAGGCAGTACGTGGCAAGGGAGGGACGCCAAAAGGGACGGAGAACGGGAAGAAAAAGAAGGGATTATCACCGCCAAAATCCACGGCGGTGGTTGTAACTATTGAAGCAGGGCAAGAGATAACGTATAGCCAGGTTATCTCGAAAGCTAGACAAGGAATCCGCCTGACCGAACTAGGCATTCCTAACGTTAAGATACGCACAACAGCCACTGGCGCGCGTATCTTCGAGGTGCCTGGGGCGGCAAGTGCAGATAAGGCGGATGCACTGGCGGCCAAGCTTGGGGAGACACTTGCGGGATTGGCGAGGGTTACCAGACCGAGTCGCTGTGCTGACCTGAGGGTATTAGACCTGGACGAGTCTATAGAGGAGACGGAGCTGGCAAAAGCCATTGCAGATGCGGGAGGCTGCTCCATCGATCAGGTGAAGGTAAGCGGCATCAGAAGAGGGCCTGGTGGTATGGGAATGGCACTAGTTCGCTGCCCGGTGGCTGCAGCTAAAAAGATTGCAGATGTGGGCAGGATAAAAGTGGGGTGGATTGTGGCCCGTGTCCGTGCGCTTGAGCCTCTCCCGATGAGGTGCTACAAGTGCATGAACATCGGCCACACGAGACAGCTATGCTCCTGTAGCGCAGACAGGAGCAGGCTGTGTTACAGATGCGGGGAGGCAGGCCACTTAGCGAAAGAGTGCGTAGCTACCTTGAAATGCGTGGTCTGCGCGGAGGCAAAACTCGCTCACGACCACATAATGGGAGGGAAGATGTGCCGCCCCCCGCCTGTGAAGGTGAACAGGTGGCAAAATGGTCGAAGCAGAGGGGAAGGGAACCAGGGAGGGGCCATGGAGGGAGTATGCATAATCCCCCCCAATGGATAGAGTATTCTGCAGTTTCCTACAGGGGAACATCAACCACTGTGCAGGGGCTCAGGACTTGATTTTACAGAGCGCTGCTCAGTGGAAAGTCGATTTGTTGGTGGTAGCTGAGCCATATCGGGTTCCCGATTCTCCAAACTGGCTAGGGGACACGAGTGGTAGGGTGGCAATAGTAGTCCCCACAACGAGTGCTCGAGCACCCCCCCTCTCACTTAAAGAGAGAGGAGATGGCTTCGTAGCTGCAATGTGGGGGGAGATAGCGGTGGTGGGGACGTATTTCTCCCCAAACAGGTCAATGAGGGAACTGGAGACATGGGCGGATCATCTGACAGGGGTAGTCAGAAGGCTTTTTCCCAGGGAAGTCGTGGTTATGGGGGATTTCAACGCCAAACACTCGGCGTGGGGCTCCCCCATAACCACGAATAAAGGAGTGGCGATATATGAATGGGCGGCTGCACTGGGACTTGTTACTCTAAATAGGGGCACGTCATTTACCTGTGTTCGGAGAATGCGTGGTCGCACTGTGGGGTCTGTGGTTGACCTCACCTTCGCCACTCCAGCCTTTGCAGATCGGGTTCAGGCCTGGAGAGTAGTGGAATGGGAAGAGACCATGTCCGACCACAACTACATCAGGTTCAGGACCGCCCCCCGGGGGGCGGGCCTGGGCCGGGTGGTTGTGGGGGACGCGGACTTCCCCAGGTGGGCGCTCACCAGGCTTAACCGCGAACTGGCTGAAGAGACAGCCATGGTACAGGCGTGGGAAGCTCAGGATCGGGACTGGGTTGGTCCTGTAGATCAATTAGCGGATGGGTTCGGGGCGTCACTCGCGGTCATATGCGATGCTGGGATGCCAAGGGCCACCAATAGACCTGGGAAAACCCAGGTCTATTGGTGGAACATGGAAGTCGCCAACCTGCGAGAAATAAGTAGAAGGGCCAGAAGGGCACTCTTGCGCAGTAGACGCAGGCGAAGGCGGGACTCGCAGGAGGAGGACCGACTGCGGGATGCCTACGCCAGCGCAAAGAGGAACCTTAAGGAGGCCATCTGTAGGGCCAAGAGCAGAGCATGGGAGGAGTTCCTCTTAGTCCTGGACAGGGACCCATGGGGCCGGCCGTACCGAATGGTACGCAACCGCCTCGGTCATCAGGCTCCCGTCACGGAGACGATGGACCCAGAGTTGCTGGATCGGGTGGTTTCCTCGCTGTTTCCGGAAGAAGTTCCGGCAATTCCGCCCATGGTAGGGCTCCAGCCGTTGGAGGAATCAGAACAGGAACCCCCAGTGACAAGAGAGGAGCTCGAGGGGGTGATGGAGGGACTCGGTACCAAAAAGAAGGCGCCGGGACCAGATGGGGTTCCAGGGAGGGTATTAGGGATGGCGCTGAAGCACCTGGGGGATCGATACCTTGCTTTGGTCAACGCTTGCCTGGAGACGGGTGTCTTCCCCAAGCGGTGGAAAAAAGGTCGCCTCTGCCTACTGCAGAAGGAAGGTAGGCCCGCTGACACTCCGTCGGCCTACCGCCCGGTGGTGCTGCTGGACGAGGCTGGCAAGATATTCGAAAGAATACTTGCTGACCGAATCGTCCGGCATCTAGAGACCGCAGGGCCGGGGCTGGCGGAGTGCCAGTATGGCTTCAGACGGCGGCGATCCACGGTTGACGCACTGATGGCCTTGAAAAGGGAATCGGAAAGGATAACGCGGGGAGGGGGAGTGTTGATGGCAATCTCATTAGATATTAGGAATGCGTTCAACACTCTCCCTTTCGAGTGTATCAGGCAGGCGATGGCCTATCACAGGATCCCGATGCGAGTTCGGGCGGTTGTGGAGCACTACCTGAGTGATCGGGAAGTGCTCTACATCAACTCGAGGGGAGAACTGAGGTCCAGGTGTATGAGGCGTGGTGTTCCACAGGGGTCGGTCCTAGGACCACTACTGTGGAACATGGGATACGACTGGGTGCTTCGCGTCGTCCTGCCGCCCGGGCTGGGGATCGTCTGTTATGCAGACGATACCCTCATCACAGCATCGGGCGACAGTTTTAGCGGCGCGAAGCGCCTAGCCGAAGTGGGGGCTTCCATGGTGATCGAGCGTATACGGCAACTGGGCCTGGACGTGGCCGTGGAAAAGACAGAGGCGATACTTTTCCGCGGCCCGAGGGGGGGGCCGCCAGAGGATGCATCCATTATTGTGGATGGGGTAAGGGTGCCTCTGGGGCGCCACCTCAAGCACCTGGGACTGCTGCTGGACGAGCGCTGGAATTTCAGAGAGCACTTCCAGCGACAGTCCTCGAGGCTGGTGGGCGCTGCAACGGCGCTGGGGAGACTCCTGCCTAACATCGGCGGCCCGAACAATGAGTGCCGCCGACTTTATGCAGGAGTCATCAGAAGCATGGCCCTATATGGGGCGCCGGTATGGGTGTCTGCTCTGGGAGAGCGAAATAAGGCGCTCCTGAGAAGACCGCAAAGAGTGGCGGCCAACAGAGCGGTGCGGGCGTACCGAACCGTCTCTTGGGCAGCTGCCTGCGCGCTGGCCGGTATGCCTCCGTGGGAACTCGATGCTAGAGTTCTCGCGGAGATGTACGAGGCACGGACGTCCGCAATGGCACGTGGGGAGCGACTGGCCCCTGGGGAGCTGGCGCAGATCCGTCGCCAGGCGGAGGAGGGCCTGATGGAGAGATGGCAGCTGATGCTGCAGTCTCCCACACACGGGCACCGAACCCTAGATGCCCTGCGTCCACTCCTCGGGGACTGGGCGTCCCGCAAGTTCGGGTCGCTGACCTTCCGCCTGGTGCAGGTTCTTACCGGGCACGGATGCTTCGGTAAGTTCTTGCACCGGATTCGGAGGGAGGCGACCCCGTCGTGTCACGAGTGCGGCGCTGAGGTGGACACGGCGCAGCACACCCTACAGGAGTGCCCGTCGTGGGCGCAACAGCGCGGCACTCTGACAGCGGCAGTGGGAATGGATCTCTCGCTCCCCAGCGTGGTACGGGCCATGCTGGGAAGTGACAGATCCTGGCAGGTAGTGGTCTCCTTCTGCGAGGAGGTCATCTCACGGAAGGAGGCGGCGGAGAGAGTTCGCGAGGATCAAGCCCACGCGAACTCTCTTCGACGCAGGAGGGGGAGGACTGGTCGGCGGCGCCGAGCCCGCCTGCTAGTCTTTTAGCGGAACCTTCTGTGACTGCCAGGGAGGGGGTGCTCCGCGGCACCATCGCGAGGGGGTAGGAACCCAGGCGTAATAAGCGGCGACTCATAACTGGATCCCGCAGTTACGCCTGGAGGGCGAGGGGTAGATCGGGGAGTTGTTTTACCTGGTAGGTACGGGAGCTGGTCGGCTGGCTAGCCGCTCGGGCTGCGGTCCGTGAGACTAGTCAGGTGACGCTGTGAACGGAGAAGCCCAGGATCGGCTAAAGCGGGTGCGGACCAGGCTGCTGGTCGGAGGCGGGGTGGTTTGACGTGTGCCACGCTTACGTGAGCGCACGTCAAAGTATACCCGCACTGACTAGCGGCCCTCGGGCTGCTCGCCGCTTGCCGAATGCACCACGCAATTACCTGCGTCGCGAGAGTTTGTTGACAGCAAACTAACGTGGCGCTGGTCATTGTCGTGGATATAATGCATTTTTTCTCCCCGTCATCGAAAAAAAAAAAAAAAAAAAAAGGGTAGGCAACGGTGTGACTGATATTTTTGTATCGCAAGCGTCTATATACTATAGTCATCCCTTATTATCAGGTGGGCTATTATATTCTTTACCACCCTTTTAACTTTATACAGAAAGAGTTCATTTTCTATAAGGTGCAGCAAATTACCACACATCACCAGATAGATGTTAAGTGCAGGTAAGTGAAGTCAAGCCGCAAACATAGCTGATGCGACAACAAAGTATGCAACTCCAGCCATTGTCACTTATCCCCTCGTGAAGCCTTAAAACCTAGGTCTTATGCAAGGATGGGCAAGCTATGGCCTACGGACCATCTCCGGCCTGTTTGAATTTCGGCAACATCATCATCAACATGAACCAAAAAATCTACTTACAGCATTTTGTCACGACTTACTCTGGTGCTTTTGAGGTACTCTAAAATCGAGTCAAAACCCGATAATCGCTTTAAAAAATACATAGTTGTAACTTTTAATACGTGTACCGTGA